GATTGTACGCACCTTACTCTACCGTGATTATCTTTCGTTTCCTCGAAATTAAAACCCAGGGTCCATTTTACTTCTCCGGTAAAACTAATTGTTTAAATTCATACGGCAGCAATAATTTTTTTTAAAAAAAACCCCCCCTTTTTTTTTTTTTGGGGGGGGCCCCCCCCCCGGGGGGGCCCCCCCCCCCCCCCCCCCCCGGGGGACCCCCCCCCCCCTCTCCCCCGGGGGGGGGGCCCCCCCCCCCCCCCCCCCCCCCCCCCCCCAAAAAAAAAAAAACCCCCCCCCCCCCCCCCCCCCAAAAAACCCAAAAAGTATTTTTCCCCCAAAAAAAGGAAAAAAAAAAAGGGAAAATTTTTTTTTTTTAAAAATTTTTTCAAAAAAAAAAAAAAAAAAAATTTTTTAAAAATAAAAAATTTTGGGGAACCAAGGGGGGGTTAAACAAAAAAAGGAAGGGGAAAGCGCCGTTTTAATTGTTTTTATAATAAATAAATAAATAAATAAATTAAAAAATTAATGTTATTATTATCGATACATCAATGCTGGAGGTAAAAGCAGTTAATCTTGTAAGGAGTCGGGTTGTCCGTTACGCGTCCTACACCTAATGTTTGCTCTATAAATCTTCGTCAACGAACCTGTCACCTTCATAAAGATACAGCCTCCGCGTTTGGGTCACCATATAAAAGCCTATCCTTTGAAAATTGTGTAGAGGCATTTGATAAAAATCTTAACTATGTGAAATCTGCCGAAATACATTATGAAAAAACATAAAGGCCTTTTTTTGTAAGAGGGTAGTCGAGCACTGAATCCCACTAACATCGAATGTTAATGCGTCGTCGGCCTATTTCTTAAAAGTTTTCTGAAACTGATATAAGAAATACTCGGGAACTTCAATCCGTTGATCATGTAATGATGAAATTAAAACACGAGTTTAGTTAAATTAAAATGTATTTTGATAAACTTAATACGTTCAAATTCACTGCTAAAAACATGGGACACAGCCGGTACGTAAGTACGTGAGTACCTTATAGAATACTTTTTTGCTTGCTATTTTTTAACGAGTTTCGTTTTGACTTCCAATATCATTATTATATTATTTCAAATTAGTCCAACTGTTTCTTTTATATTTTCTACTTATTTGGACGAATTCTTGTCGCTTCTCCTCTTGCTCTGACCTTTTTTAGTAAAAGCAGACAAGTATAACATTCTCTTAATATAGATTAGATATCCCCAGCCGACTTATGTTGGGCTTGGCTATTTGGAAATTCACAACTGAAACCATAATGCGGTAAAACCATTACCAGTTTTTTATTAAATTAATTACCTTTAAATTATTCAATTATTTTATAATGATTATTAAGAGAAAAAAACTGCTGTTCCCCCTCACATACGCAACATATCTAGGGGCTAGATAAACAATAGTTAGACAGCCTAAATTTGCAATTTATAAAAATAACTAGAACCTGAAGAACAAGTTTAACTTAAAAATGGTTTTAAGTTAAACGTTTTTTTTTTGTGCACTGAAACCTACAAAAAAATGGCATATATCATCGTGTTTTACTAGTGTAGCCCTTTCATTTGATATCCATATTGAGGGGGTTAAAGAAAAATATGTAATCCGCCATATTGTATCGGCGGCCATCTTAGATTTATAATGTTATCAATTTTATTATATTGTATTGTCATCTAAATTAAATGTTTGTACCAAATTCCAGATCAATCTGACAACGGGAAGGTGCTGGTAAATTTCAATATCAGATTTTGACCCAAATAAATAAATTCCTTACGGGTCAAGCTAATTAAAATCGTTTAAAAACATAAAAACTAAAGTTTTAACTTCGTACTTATAAATTCTATCTAAACTTCGTAATCCGTTTGTATTATCAAATTGGTTGAGGCCCATGTACTCGTAAGTTTCAGCAATACTACTCTTAGTATTAATCTCATATTTACGCAAACTCACTACTGATAATGATTGGGTATTAGATTGGAAAAGTTGTAATATGCTCGTGATATGAAAATGCGGTTTCCTCTTACTGTTTATACACCAATTATGCCGGAATTACACGAAATGTAGTTTCTGTTAGAAACAGATCCTGCCCAATCCCACTATTTATATCGTACTAGCTGTGTCAGCGACTTCGTCCGCGTAGAACAGTTGTTTTGGACATCAAAATTTGTTTTTGCAACGACGTCGTCCGCGTCCCGTCATTCTTGAAAGTTAATCTAATAAGATAGCTGAATAAGTTCCCCCGTTTTATCCACATTTCCCGCTGTGTCTACGTTCCTATTAGTCGCAGTGCGATGTTTCATAGCCTTGCTCGTTTAATGTTCCAACCAACACAAAAATCATTATTCAATTTAAACCTGTAGTTCCTGAGATAAGTGCGTAAAAAAGAGACGAAGAAACGAATCTTCAGCTTTATATATTAGTATAGATTTGATATAAATTTCCTGAAAAGCTATTAAACTTGAAACGAGGCCTTTTTTATAACAATATTCTCTTTCAATGCAACATAAAGAGTGAAAAAGAGAAAATATAATAAAAATAATGTTTTCTCATTTGAAATCCGAACTCCGGGGTTTGTTGTTGGTTTGTTCTGAATTTGATTTAAACGGATAAAAAAAGACAACCTAGCCAAACGGCATACCATACCAAAAAAATAACTAGGTCCTGAAGAAAAGCAATATGTAACGGCCGACGACCCACTTACATGTTTTAGAAGTCAGCGCGGACAGCGGCAGCGGGCAGTTAGGCAGTCCGTTTGTGAAAAACTAAACATAGAAGTTGTTATGTACGAACGGACGTGAAAAATTGTAATAGACTTTGCGAAGTAATGAAAGTTTTACTAACTTATAGCGTGGGTGTATGACTTGAGCATACTTGTTTGTGAAAGGTGATTTGTGGAAAGTGAAGTTTGGCGTTTACTACCGAATTACAACTCAATGTAGTAACATAATTAGTTACTAGTTTTCATGTTTTTAGTTAAGTATAAAAAATAAAAGTAAACGGAACAATCTTTTATAATAAGAGCAACATTTTTTTTTACATTTACACACATCTATGGTTATACCAGTTGGCGTTTGCCATTACTGGTAAAATCCAGTTCGACAACAATACAATAATATTGCATAATTATACGATACATAAACAATACGAAAACTAAATTTTAATTATTATTTTAATTACTACTTGTAACAGTAACGTTAAGAAGTGTGTTTGCTATTTCACTACAATACCCCGTGAAAATATCGACCTTTGGTGTACAATATATTAATTACTCGTATTGTTGGCGTGATCGTGGCGTTGGAATGCGCGAAAGGCAAAACTGGAAGTAAAATTGCGCAAATCAACGGCGTTACGTTCCTTAACGCGAAGAATTTTAATTATCTTCTTGCCAAAAAAAAACTTCCCCCCCCCCTTAATTCGCGATATCCTACCATACCTATGACGAACAGTGTAGGTTACATAAGTAGGTAAAATTAGTATTGTTTGAAGTACAAATATCTTAAAAACTTGAAATATTATTGCTATGTTAGTAAGTCGTTGTTTCGACGCCCGACCGCTTATTTTATTAAACTAACACCTTTAAAATTTTTTGAAATAATTTGTTTGGTATTTCCATTTTCTATTTCGCAAATTATCAATCTCAAAAAAAGCTGTTAAATACGTCACTTTAGGTATTAACAAGTACTCGACATCAAAAAGTGGCCACAATTATTTTCAAATTAAGTCCTATGTACCTTGCCTCCTGCTTGCCTCACTTTTAATTCTGAATAGTTCTTGACCCTCTTCAGGTGACGATGAGGACTTAAAAGGTGCATTTAATATTCCTAGCCCGTAAAAGATGACTTAGTCAGTCATTACATTTGCTACTAACGAGGTACTCTTATTTATGCGTTTAATAGAAATTTTAAATTTAATTGATATATTTTTCCCTACCTAAAATGATATATATGAGTTTGGGTCGATGTTTACGAAAATGATACTTTAAAAAAATTAACGATTTGAAAAGCTTAATGTATTTCTTACTTTCGACACTTATTTATAAATTAAATAGTTGGCGCTTAAGAACTTTACTGTTTTTAACCATGTTTTGTCTTTAGTTTTCGCGAGTAGTAAACATTTAAATACACCACTTTAACGCTTTAAGACGCGATAATTATTTTAACTACGCTTTGCAGCAGCCGTAGTCACGGGGAGACAAATAATTTCAACTTATAAATATCGCGTTTTAAACCGTTATAGTGTATTATTCAAATAAACACGTTTTTCTTTAAGTAAAATAGTTATTAACATTGGAATCAAGCGTTTCTATAAATCCATCATTAACGTATAATGTAGCGTATGATTACTGGCTTTAAATAAAACAAATAATAAAATTACAATCATTTATTTACACATACCAAATACATTATTATTATTTACAGATAATCAAGATATCTACAAATTATATGTCGTTGATGTTTCGCAAAATTTAACACAAATAAAACCATTGTAAAGGAGATTTAATTAATTACCTTAATCAAAAAACCTTTTTCAGTGAAACTACATCAAATTTAAGTAAGATTAAATTATTATTTCTATTCATTTTTATAAATGTATTAAGTTCAACATGAATTATCTGGAATTAAAATAAATTATTGTTTTGAAAACTTTAAGCTTACTTAAAGCCTTTTTCTTTCAAAACTGTCAAACTTATAACCACTTACATTTAGTATTTACAAACTTTAAAACTAAAGTAACAAAAATTATACTAAGGGAGTATATATACAAATTATATTTTGAAAATAGTATAGGTACATATTTGTCTCTATATATTGAATCTACAAAGATACAAAAATGCAACATCATTTGAAAGACAACGGTTTATAGAAACACATTAATTAACCCATCGTTATTTCTATATCTCTACGTTATATAAGAAAAATCTATTGGTCTGTTTGTTTATTGAGAAAATCTGTAACTTGAATTGTTCTTTTAGTAGAAAACACTTTAAAAATTATAAAATTTCATTATTAAGCCCGGATGTTATAGATTCGCTGAGAGAGTTCTTGGCGGCCGATACAGTAAAGTATAATGCGATTATAATAAGGTACAGGTCGGTCATAAGCGGAGCGACAGCGGACGTCCGCGTTCCTCTTTCATCAGACATGACGCTCGAAGCTACTATAACGCGACGTCCGTTGCTAGCGTCGTTCCTTGTCTCATCTGGTGCTGATACGCTGCTTACTTCTGGGGGGACGCAGCTTGGTATTTTTATCTAAAAGAATCAACTCAAATTCATTCATAATTTAAAAACCCAGAGATTTTTATAAAAAAATAAAACCTATGGCAGCAAAGATTTGTCATAATATGCAGAATAAAAGTAGCTTAGTTATGAAGTAACAAGTTGACTTTTTTTAATTAACTAAAACCTATATTCAACCAGACAAATATAATGAGTTTTATCAAACTAAAAAAAAAAACAATTAAATACTGTCTGTAATTTACGTTAGTAGTACACATTTATATAAAACAGTTTAACAGTTTAGTACACGTTTCAGAATAGCCGAAACGTCGGGACGTAATCTCCGAATAAGTTTCACTAAGATATTTACCGTTAAAATGTTTTATTTAAAAAAATATATATTATTATTATCGTAGGAGGTTATGGAGTACATTATATTTAAGTGAGTGCTTATATAGCGGTTACTTACAATCTACCTCAATTGTTTACTTGTTTAATATACACCAGATGTACACAAAAAATATCAGTAAAAGTTTAAACACATTTTCAATTTACATAATGTAATTACTTTTTAATTCAATTTCCCGCTACGCGGTGAAAATGCTTGCTTTGGAATAATAATGCAAATAAATTACTGACTTGTGGTTTCGTAAAATTGAATGCGGTCTCCATACATCGTCGCGCTTGATGAGCTAAACAGGCCGCGTACGCGATCGCATGTGGTATGTAGCTCTGTTCTACTACTCCAGTGAATAGAACTGTGGCCATTGGACCTGGGCGCAGTAAATATATAATATAGTTATAGATATTTAAGTAAATTAGGCTTATAAAACTAGAATGCATAAGAATCAGTTGGACTACAATGCGAAAAATTGCTTAGCCTAGGGGGGGGGGGGGGGGGGGGGGGGGGGGGGGGCTTGTTAAAGGGGGGGGGGGAAAAACCCCCAACCTGGGGGGGAATAAAAAAACAAAATGTTTTTTTATAAAAAAAAAAAAAAAAACAACAAAAAAAAAAAAAAAAAAAAAAAAAAAAATTTTTTTTTTAAAAAAAAAAAAATAGGGGGGGGGAAAAAAAAAAAAAACCCCCCCCCTTTTTAAGGGGGGGGGGGGAAAAAAAAACCCAAAAAAAAATCCCGGGGGGGGTTTAAAAAAAACCGGGGGAAAGGCAAAACCACGGAAAGACCTTAAGACCGTTTGGGTTTTCATTAACAAACTCAAGGAGAAAAATAGGAAAAAAAAAAATACCCAAAGCATAAATGGGTACGTCCTCTCCTCCATGAGTAGACCACTGCCTTGGCACCGCTGCAGCATGTACTGCATCAACTGACATTGAGGAGGTTCCGTTGAAGGGAAGTGCTCTTGGTTCGGAATGGCCAGGTCCAGTGCCATACAATAGAGTTGTGTACTTCAATCCATCAATGTCAGATGGGACTGTGTCTGAACCTAGAATTACAAAAAATAAAAGATAGTAAAGTGATAAATAAAGTTAAGTGATAGTAAGATGATATAGATAGAGTCTTAAGATTATAAATATTTAAGTAAATTCTATTATCGATTATAATCACAAAATTTTGCACCAAAATAGTCTTTGTGCCCATTATAAGCGCCGTTAGGTAGACGACCAAACATGAAGACAAAAGAGACTTTCAGACGACTTTGTTTTAGAACGTGTCGATAATTTGACTACGATTAGGATCCGGTGAAAAAAATTAAAACATTCTAATAAACTAATAACACCAAACAAATTTCAAAACCAAGGATCACGACGCTGTAATTACTTACATTATTCTTGAATCGTGTAAACAATAAGATCAACACATTCTCTATTGTGATAACAAGATAGGTAAAGTTGTTTACGAGATTTAATAACGAAAATATACTCGAGTGCTCTAAGATGTAATTTATGAAAATATTGGAGAAATGAAGGGAAATATTTGTAGACGCGTCTAGTGAGATTAACGTGGCATTTATGAAATATATTTAAAGTTTGAAGGATGTTTAAAAAAGGTTATTACCGTTTGGTAAAGGTTTATTATTTAATAACAATTAAGCATAATGATAATAGTTTGTGAAGATAAAGAAGGTTGTGTGAAGGCAAAAAAAGTTACGCTACTACTGTCGTGGTTATATGTTAGTTCTTTGAAAACGTGTATCTTATTTACTTCTTTTCAGATTAAGACTTTTTTTGTTTTGCTAAGTGGTAAATAACTTATTATTATATACTTAAATTATGACAATCGTACCTAAAATAGGATGACCTCTCGGTGTCGCTTGACCACCAAAAGTCATAACGTGGCCATGATCTGCAGTAACCACAATTAACGTTTCCGCTGGGTTTACTTTTTCCAGCGCCGCTAATAACGCCGTTTCCAACTCCAGGGTCTCATCCAGTGCTCGGTATGGGTTATTGTAATGATGCGCGTGGTCTATTCTACCACCTGAAAGAGATCTTATGTTAAGAAATTGTAGCGAATTTATTTATTTATTATGTTGTTCCACTTTGGTATAATAGGTTTTAAAAAAGGAATAAATTCATTTATATACAATTTAAATAAAACACTTTAACGGTTTAAAACGCGATATATTAGTTAAACTTATTTGAAAATAATTTTTAACTTCGGCCCGACGTTTCGGATGCTTTGCAGCAGCCGTGGTAGCCGTGGTCACGGGGAGACAGGTCGGTCTCTACTACTATACTGTACTACTCGCGTAAACTATAGACAGTATTTCATGTAAAAAAATATCTTGTAATTTTATATTGATTGAAATATTAATAAACATTCAATCTTTTGAAATATGTATCATATTAAAACAGATCATTATCGAAATATTATAGTTAGTTCAAAGTACTTTTTTCAATTAAATTCCATACTAATAATTTAATAAAAATTCGTCTTTATTGTTCATATTCATTGGATTGTTCTATATAAACTTATACAGTTACCAAATTTAACTTATGTAAACAGTCGCAATAAACAGTTTATGTATTCTCTTTTGTCACCATTGAATGCCTACTTACCATATTAATTATTCATCAGTTCGTTTGGTAATGGTCTACACAAATTAAAATGAAGTTACCCGTTTGATACTCATTGCCTTTTTTATGTTGACTTAAAAAAGTGTTACAAGTTAAAAATAAAGAGCATTTATTATGGAATACAAAGTTCTCGATGTTTCATCACTAGCGGACCGCCATCATAAGGAAATGTTAGCTCCTCGATTGCTCGAAGAGCTTCTTCGAGCTAAACGATGGCCGTGAAAGCCTTACACAAGTTATTTTATCTATAGATAAGTAAAACTTATTTGGAATTTATTTTAACTACGGCCCGACGTTTCAGATACTTTGCAGCAGCCGTGATCTGAAGCCCTCTTGGATATAAAACCGTCAAATTTATTCACGTCAATATTTCTCAGTAAATCTTTTAGACTGGCTTACTTATGAATAAATGTTTGAAATTAGAATTGGTCAATCCGAACCAATGACAGTATTTTTTGTGAAATTGGGCCCTACGACTGATATTGTGTCCGAGTGTTTTGAAAAAGCATTTTGCTGACTTGAAAGCTAAAACGAATTAATGTTGACTAACCTTCTAATAATAAGAAAAATCCCTTATCATTTTTGGTTAGAATCGAAAGAGCGGCGCGAGTCATATCAGCTAAAGAAGGGTCTTCAGCTTTAGCGTTCCCTTCTGAGTGTGTACCATCTTCTGTATCTGCTATCGCTCCTCGCTCAGCATTGAACTCCATGTGAGAATACTCGAAAAGACCTGTGTTGAAGGAAAAATATTTTACAAGTTAAATACTTTCTATAGTGTACGTGAGTAGTAGGACATGTAAAACATTTTAACGGTTTAAAACACGATATATATTAATTAAACTTATTTGAAAATTATTTTAACCATAGTCCGGCGTTTCGGCGTTTGCGGCAGTCGTCGTCACGGGGAGACCACGGCTCTGCAAATCATAATTTTCAAATAAATTTAAGTAATATATATCGCGTTTTAAACAGGTAAAGTTTTTTATTTAAACAGTCAGTGTTATTTAAATGTTAGTTTGTCTAGTGACTATATTCGAATGAAAGCCATAACTCTTCGAAACCTAGGATCAGGCGTAAATAAGAGAATATGTTTGACTCACATTCGCCATTCGCACATGAAGCAGTTGATTCCGGTTAATGTCAATAATTTATTGGTGGCTATTGTTATAGCCCGCTAAGGCGTGTTGGGTTTCTGATTATTAAACTCAATGGAAAAGGAGATATAATCCCAGCAGTGGGACATTAATAGATTGGTATTATAAAAAAAAGAGTTTTCGTGTATGGTACTTGTAAATGAAAAAAACAAAAATAATTGTTACTCTTAGTACATTGACCTCTGTTAATTTAAACCATGAAAAATTCAATTTAATCACGTTCGTCTATGTAAAATATTCGCTCATGATTTAAACTCTTAAGTAGGGTCACATTTTGAAAAGTTTCAAAGGGATTCATAATTAAAACAAAAACTTCGTATAAAATTCATTAGTAGTCGGCTTTGAAAAATATATAAAGTATACAAATTAATAAAGCCCGCATAGATTAGTGAATATTATGGCCCTGTTTTAATGAGAAAACCGTGAATATTAACGTTTATGTTTAAAATTTAATTTTGTTTATAATCAACAAATAATTAATTAGAGTGCATAGTATACGATCTGGAATGTTGTAATTTTTCATTCCATTTTAATAAAATTTGAGCTATGATTTTTTTCAAAATATAATATAAAACAGATAATATTACCTCCACATACATGTATACTTTAAAAGTCACTTCAAAGATTCATTTCCGTTTTCTTATAAAAGTAATAATATCAAATAATTCCTTTAAAAAATTAGAAGGTTTCGGGATGAAACAAGTAGCACACGTAAAAAGATACATCAAGTACTGTATGAGATTTAAATAAAACACTTTAACGGCTTAAAACGCGATATGTATTAGTTAAACTTATTTGAAAATTAACTACGGCTAATGGATATCGCGTTTTTAACCGCTAAAGTGTTTTGTTCTAATGTGTACTACTCCCATAAACTACAGACAGATCTTGGATCCAAAATTCGAAATTCAAATCCTCGAGGAAAAATATATAGTTTTGGTATCCTTTGCCTACAAATAAAAGTGATAATTAAAATAGATCCAGAAATGTGCGCGGTAAAAATTAACGTACTAACTAGACGTAACACATAATGTGACGGACGTTAACTACATGTAATAGGAACAGGGGTACTCAGTATTCAGCTAAATCTACTTTTTCATACAGAGGAAGTGGGGTTAAGTAATTTTGTTTGCAATTCCATTACGACTAAAAGCAAATAAAGTAATAGCTCTGCGTCATGTTTACTGAAGAGATGTCAGTCAAGCGGCTAAACGGATTTCCGCTGGAGTGATTTCTTTAAGGAGTTTTTGACTAACGCCGCTAGTTAATTAGTTGCATTTTGATGATATCTGTGAAGATCCGTAGTTAATTTGAGTTCCTTTGAATAATTCATTTCTGTCGCAGTCTCTAGATCTGGTTTACAAGATGTTATTTTATAAATGAAAAAACCTGGTTCTGCTTCTTAAGGGGTGACAATCTTTTAAAGGCCAGTCCAAAATGCCATTGTTTTGAAAAGAAATGTATCTTATGAGATTTTGAGTTTCATTTAAAAATAACTCTTTGAGCTTAAAAATATTTCCATGTAAATTAACTATACTTTGCTTTTATGGGGTAAGATTACTGTTTAAGACTATTATGAGAAAGATATTACTTAAACTACACTATACTTAAAGACTGTCTGTAATTTACGCGAATAGTACACATTTAAATAAAACACTTTAACGGCACTTTTAAACAGTCTGTCAGTGACCACGGCTGCTGCAAAATATTCGAAACGTGGAGCCGTAGTTAAAAAAATTCAAATAAGTAATATTAGATTTATTTCCAACGAGCAATCGAGGAGCTAACATCTCCTGATGCACGCGCACGTGATGGCAAAACGTCCAGAACCTCTTCTCGCTCACGTCGGCCGAACAGCCCAAAAAGAATGATATAATATATATCGCATTTGAAACCGTTAAAGTGTTTTATTTAAATAGACTTTTCTTCAGAAAACAACCCAATACGAGTGTATCTCTTGTCAAAAACTTGAAACAAGATCAACATCGTGGTAGGTATCCGCTGGAGCCTGTATTTTACACGAAATTGGCCAAATAAACTTGTCACAGTGCCAAGCTTGGCACATGTGAGATGACAGCAAACTTTCGAGAGATTGCTGCAACTTTCTTGAACGAAAATTTAATCGCGGAAACAACGTAACTGCAATTCTCGCAAGTTATCGGCGAATAACTTTTTAATGTCCTCAGCGGAGATGAGCCGAATATGTTGAAACTAAAATTACGCTGTATTTTGGGGTTTTTGTTTATTTTAAATATAAAGACCAAAACTTTACAATAATAGCACTTATACTAAACTTATAACAATGCTTGCTTATCCGGGGATGAACACGTTTGCCTTGGGATCATGCCAAGCAATAAAATTCGTATAAGCGGAATATAAATCCATGCCTAATCCTTACATAGTCAACGCGTCAAATCTTAAACGTATTTGTCTAAATAATGTTCTATTATTTGAGTAAAAGTGCATTTTTTGTGAACCAGATGTTCGTTTGACAGGGTTTCTTTAAATAGTAACCAAGGGACGGTGGTACGAAACCCATCAAGTCTAAAATATTTTTGAACTAACAAATTCAATTTTTCGCATAAAGTAATGTATATAAGCAAGGTTAATTAATGAGGACACTCTTAATAAAATTAGTTGGCTCAAAGGTATGAACGTATTTAAGTTTCTCAAAACGTACCTCGTGGTCCGGTGTAGCATCTGGTAACACTATTACAAACTTTACAGCTTGCTCAGCTTTAAGCAAACGTTTAAAATAATATTCTCTGTCGTGTATATCTCGTAATTAACCAGTTGTTTTAAATAATTAAACATTTAAAACATTCATTTCTATTATTTTAGGTATTGTTCCGTTAAACTGTGGAAGCTTATATAAATATACAGCTATCAGTTTATTTTAGTAAATATAAAGTATTATCAACTGGATTTATGTAAGCTGTGACTCATTTTTAGCTTAAAATCAAAACGGCGTTAGTATAATACATCTGGAGATTAGGGGGTGAATACAATAAAACTGTGTAATAGAATACAACAAACTATCTATCTATAACACAAATGCAATATTTTTTTTTGTATTCTGTTTCTTTTTCAAATAGGTCAATCGATTTTATAATAACCGTTTCTTGTGTTAATTGTTTCTTCTCGTGGAACTAAGTTAAGGTTGAGAATTAAAAATAATAACTTACTGAAAATTAAAAATAAATTATAAATTAACATAAAAAAAAAACTAAATGGCAGTATAAATCAGTTTTGCTATATACATAACAGTTTTACACTGCTCTCATTCGTACCAAAATAAACAATAGTTACTAAAAACTCCTTTTTTTATATCATGATTTATGAGGACATGTTAGGTTATTGCTGCCAGCAATATTTTGCTACTAACCTAATAAATAATCCACCGTTCTTGGATCTAATTTAGCGAGCTGCTCCCTCGTGTGTATGTACTGTGCTCGTAAATGTCTTCTTTTCTTTTCTCGCGCCCAGTCCTCTGCGAGATTTCTTCCGTCGAGTCTTCTGCCCTCCCGATTTTTGTGTTCAGGGTCGGGGGTTACATTCGGTAGGAAATGCCGACGTCCTCCGCCCATTATAACCTGGTAATTAATTTAAAGAGATTGTTTAATATCTCCTGAAACATGATCATCTTTGGCTTCTAATGAAATTTACTGCGATCATTTTATACCCGCAATGTATGCAGTCTACCACATACGAAGAAGGTATGGCATCGGCTTTATTTCATCATTCTTACCATTTATTTTGTATGCAAATAAAAAATAATTTTAATATTGACATTAATATTTAATAATATTTTATTGAATTGATCCATGAATGACCTTAACATAACTGTTTATGGTCCACAAGATTTAAAGTAATCGCTCTATATGATCCAATATAGATAGGCAATAAGTTCCCTGTATTGTATATATTCACCTATATAGCCAATTGGTTAAAGGCATTGCCTAGGATTGAGTTAAGCGCGAGAGCACCTGGGTTCGAATCTCAGGGAGACAAAAATTTGTTTCGGTCGGGCAGGGCACAAAAGTCTGTTCAACTACTTGCCTGTTAAAGAACAGATCAGTAAAACAGACACAAAAATGTGTTCGCCCCATGTATATTGTATATATTATTAAACACACCAATAAAATGTAATAAGTATTTTCCATGTACTTCTAAACTGTAGAAACTTAAAGAATAAAGTTAAAAAAAGTTGTTTAACTTTTAGTATTCATCCAATAATGATAAAAGATTAGTTAAATCAGCAAACAGTAGTGTAGTTTTCGCGAAAAAGTAGATTAGATTTTTCATTAAAACAATAATGCCCGTTGAATAAACAAACGCTCGTATTTAAATAAGACGTGTCCCGAGGTGTATTGTGCAGAATGAAAGGGTGAATTATGCAAGTTAAACAAAGCCGAGCGCAAAACCACTTATGGCGAATCTCAATTGCTCTCAGTCTTAATAAAAGATCAACAAGAGATGAAGAAGAGACGCCGCGTCGAGTTTAAACCACTTTCGCTTTTAACTTTTAGACGTTAGCGTATCGGAACTGTTACTTTATATGATGCTTATATTATTATTGTGCAGCATGTAATATTTAAATGAAAAATATGAACGGTTTTAAACATGAAATATATTAGTGAACTTATTTACAATGTGACGCGCTGTGACCGCGACCGCGGCAAAGCTTTTGAAACTTCGGGTCATAGTTACAGCAATTTGTAAAATATTTACCTAATGTCTTTTAAAAGTGTCTATATTAACCATTGAAATGTATTTTATTTCACTATGTACTACTTGCATTAGCTACAGATAATAATTAGCATGTAATATTACAGACGATTCGTTTTGTTATTCTTTGAAATCACTAATTTTTTATCAATGTGAAGCTTAAAAGTTTGTTTCAACAGGTAAAGTTCTAATAGATAACAACGAAGTATTTAATAAGCCGTGTGTGAACATAGTTAAAATATATTTAGTGTCACATTTTTGTGCCTGCTTCACTTAACTTCCCACTTTTATTGCAGAAACAAAATATAAAATCATTTTATATTAACTTTCGCCTGTGTGAAACGCCATAGCCTTTCTATACGAATTCAAACTAAAGGGATTGTTTTAGTAGTTAGTCTTTTAATATATGCATATAGTAGATATGAAATGAGAAAATGTGATATCACGTTTTTAATATAATTCCGTTCTCTGACAAAGCGCATTTAAGAAGCAAGTAGCACATGTAGTCGTTTTATCCAAGCCTGTGAAATAGGATACTGCACCTGGGAATAAACAGTATGACGTTAGCCGAGGAAGCTTTCCACGGATCATATTCAGGCAATGGAAATGAAAAAGCTCATATCACTTTTTCCATTTAGAAATATTATACCCGGAATTTACAATAGTGCGCTGCTAGATTTTGCGTTTTCACTGAAAACGCGTGAACCCTTTCAACAATAATTCGCGAAAATCCATGCACTTCAGAATATTATATATATCGCGTTCGTATCGCTCGGTTTTCAAACAGCCAAGGATATATATGACTAGATGTGCTGGGAAATTTCGTCTGAAAACGTCAAAAACACTTTCCGATAATAATATACCTACAAGAAATATTTCAAAATATCATAAAATAAATAACATCCTTGTACTTATTACATTCTTGTATACGTACAATTTTGACTCTATATTTTTAAACGTTTTTTTAAAGAACACTGCCGTATTTTCGAAATTATTAAGAATAGACAAACAGTTTACTCATTCTAACTCAAAATGTGTAATAAATTAAAAAATATACAATTTCCATTTAATTATTTCGTCGGCGTCTTTCTAAACAACATCATTATGAACACGAAAAACACGCAATAATTTCGTGTTTTCTTTTCAAACATATAACCAAAATGAAAGGAGAGTAAAAAATATGCAAATTACGCTTATTAAGAGTAAAAACGTACTTTAAACTTGTATTTTTTAGGTGGCAATTAAAAAAGGACTGCGGACTGTTGACTCGACAGCCTGTAAGCATGAACATTTATAATTAACACCTTAAAAGCGCCAATTAAACATTTTAATATGCGCACATCATTTACATACCCAAAGAACCTTTCTATATATTATTTGAAGTGGACTAAAGGGTTAAGCGGCGTTTTTAATTCATGTTTAGTCTATTAATTATACCCATTGTATTGCGCACAGTTAAATTAAATGGAAACATTATTTAAGACCGCATATATAATAAACTTAATCTCTGTAGTTTATGCGAGATGTACATAAATAAATAACACTTCGAATGGTTTAAAACGTGAAATATATAAATAAACATAGTTATACATTTATTTAAACGTGACGTTTGGATGGTCACGGGGGACTTTGTGATCACTCTGTTTATGCCAGATATAAAGGAATACATCTTAACTAAATTTATGTCATCACTATCACTATCACGTGATATGATTCATCATCAGCTTCAACTTTCGCAACTACGAAAAGACTAATGTACTGCTTTGTCAACATTTAACAGATAACTCACATTAATACTTTTTCCAGGTTCATTCTCAACTAACTGCAAAGCGATGTCCTTGCAGTCGCGTCTAACTGTGGGCGGGACCCTGCTGTCATCTTCCCAATATCTCGAAGGTGCATGGGCGTATAAGGCAGCCGGAGTCGCGTGAGTTATTCGCGCAGTCGTCACGATTCCACTGGACTTTCCTACAAAAAGTATCTTATCTTACATTGCTTTTAACCTACCTATTATTTTTGAATTTTCCTTTTATTCACTCACAATAAATAAAAAAATAATGTTGGTGCCTATAGCATTTCATAGGGCAAGCATATGTTTATACAAATTCATTTGTCATTTTTCCTCTGAATAGTGAACTGAGATAAACAAAAAGACAGGCGCGTTCAATTTAAATGCTTCTACAATCTACATTATATAACTTGTTAAGACAATTTTAAATGATTATGTTAACAATTAATCATTACTTTTTTTATTAATGTTAGAGGACAGACAAACATGGTGCTTACTATTGCTATTTTAAAAATTATTTTTCTCATAAAACTTAAAAAACTTAACATATGCGATATATAAGATACGAAACACATAGTATCAAAAACTAGAACTGCGTTGAATAATATTTTAATATATATACGATGGAAATAACTTCGAATTTGCATAATTTATACCACGAGAGCCATCAGTTTTCCATTTGTCAGCATATTGGGATTTTCATCAGGGAACTAATAACCGTCGCAGCCTTCGTCCCGGCTACGCCGGTGGCTAGCACTTATTTTTGTATAGGAGGCACAAACAATCTTTCATTGTTGAGCTTTGTTTTGTTCTTATATAATTGTAATTAAAAGCATTTATATTAAGTGTGGCGTCGAATATTTTTTTAAATTACAATCACATTACAAAGATTTTAATAAGAAGACTTGAAGATACACGAGGGGCGAATAAAAAGTAAATTACTTTTTCAAGCATTGTTCTTGCCCTCAGAAATCTTGTAACTCTGAGCATTATTGATTCTCTGAAATCAGAGCGTTTCGAAGAAATCGGTAATAAATTTAATTTATAACCTTAGTACTAACCGTCTTTTTATAATATTGAATACATTCTAGTCATACTAGAACCGCATTGAGTATTTGGGAGAATTGAAAAACACGAAGCCATTGAATTTTTCTGTAACGTCCCAACGTTTATCGGTTAAAAAGCAATAAAAAACAAATTGTGCATTTTATTTTCGGACATTTCAGAACGCTTTTACTGAAATAGGTTGACAGCGAGTCTTTAATTGAATATCAACAAGTCTGACACTTGTCTTTCAATAAAATGGTGAACGTTTAAATATTTTTTACGCAAACAAAATTTTTCAACATTGTCTCTTGATATACAACTGCTTTAAGTGCTATACACAAATTTCTCATTATTAAGATTTTAATAAGTTACTTTGTAGTAAGATTTGACTAGTGTAGTAGGCATACAAAAACACAGAACAAATCTTAAACCTGAGTAAAATTTAAGAGTTTTACTGAATTTCTTAAATTTTACACAGGCTTAAGATTTGGGAATTCGGTATTTCATGGTAGTATCAATAAAGAATTATCAAATCTCGTGCTTGAATTCTGCCATCTTTCATAAGAGCAAGGAAAGTCGTGACTAAATTGTTAACAATATTTGACTTATTAAAAATTAACTCACCAGCATCGTGCGCCCAATCAATCAAGGAAGTGACTTTGGAGTTAATAGTGGAAGCGCAGTTATTAAAGCGCCCGCCCGCATCCAATCCCAGGGTTTCATAACGGGCTTTTACACCACACAACAGGGCTGTGGCACAGGCTGAAGATTCGCCAGTTTGAGCGTCCACGTTATACGTCTAGAACAAAAGTTTAAATACTGTCTACAGTTTACGCGAGTAGTACACATTTAAATAACACACTTTAACAGTTTAAAACGCGATATATTAGTTAAACATATTTAAAAATGATTTTTTACTACGGCCCGACGTTTCGGATGCTTTGCAGGAGCCGTGGCCGTCTTCCCGTGACCACGGCTTCATTTTTGAAAATTTGAAAATCGGTCTTCAATTGTTTTTCATTACATTTATTTTTTTATTGATAGACCAGTAGTTTTTTAAAACATGACAAATAATACTATATGATTACATTCAGTGGATATATTTTAAAAGTAGCATTATAAATACAATACATAGTAAAACTATCTAAATATATTTTAGTTTTTAATAAAAACCACCTTTACAAATTTATCAATCAATAAATTTTTACAATCTTTACTATAATGCCGAGTATTTAATATAGTACTGTCTAAGACAAAAGATACTATATTTTCCAGTTGAAATGTGATATGGAGTTCGTTATCTTGAAAGATGAAATATGAAGAACTGAAGAATCCCTTACAAGTATATCAAGTTTTAGGACAAATATTTTCTTGCTGAATCGGAGTTAATTATCTTTCTCTTTTAAAATATTCAAAATTTAAATAAGACTTGAAGTTCATCTCTTTGTTTTATGATGTTCAAGTCATCAGTAAACATATCAGCTATCAGCATTGTTTGTCTTTGTTATTTTACTTGGGAATGCTGAGTAAAAAGAAAATTGTGGAACTTCTACTTAATACGTTCGTTCATTAAATGCGAATATTATTCAAAGAGTCAAGAATTATATGCTTTTCATTTACAAGACAAACAGACTATTCAAATAGGGGATGAAGTTGGATCCCAAGATTGTTTGTTGAAACAATAACTGTTTATATTAGGTTAGTTAGGTGTTGTGAAAGATATTGTTAATTTTAACTTTCTAGAGTTATATATATGCACATGCATCCACAAAAAAAAATTTCGTCTTCTAGTATATTATTTAAGTGTCAGTTTATTTGCTTTTTTACACGTGATTGATCAGACACATGTTGTCTTCTCGACCGAAACTATGAAGTTTACCCAGGATTCACACCTAGGGCCTCTAACCTAAGGCACAGAGGTGTATATAAATAAGGAAAACTAACAATATGTGAATGAGGTGGCAATGAAAAAAATAACAAAAAATACAAATCTTAATAACGTTTTATATCAACGAATAAAATGTATACATACAATATCAATTGTTCATGCTAGGTAGTATTGCTTTATAGTTTTAGTAATTTTTATATGCATTTATGAAGTATCATTAATGTGTATAACTTATAATTAGTTTGATTAGCTCTATTATGTACGAGTATATTGTAATATTTGGGTTTCAAAAGCGTGACTCCGTCTCTGTAATTCCGACCTTTAGCTAAGATAAGACACTGTAACCTTAATTTTAATTAAGGCCTTTACTTAATGTGAACGTATATAATTAATATGCTTAAAGACGTTATTATATATATAGTGAAAACGACCCCCTCGATAATTAAATGCATAGAATTATATGACAAAGGGTTGCTGGGTGGACCGATGGAATAGTCAAATAAAAATTATTTTCTTACGGTACAAAATACTACTTTAATAGACCAAAAGGAATTAATAAAAAATATCCAAAAATCTAATCGATCTGAACGGATTAATTTTGAAAACTTAGTAAGTTTGATACAGCGGCAGTAACAACGCGACCGTTTGTGACTAATATTGACTCTTGAGTATAAATAATTTAATCGCTACACGATTAGAACCTGACTACTCTCACCTATGCACTAGGGCACGAGACTATGTCTCACCACTGGAAATCCCTACCACTTTACCTCAAAATAACAATTTGTCAATAACCGTCTGTCACCACTCAATGACAGTTTATCAAACATTTACGCCACTTTATGGACCAAACTCAAGTCATAAATGTAATTTGACGTTTCCGCATATCTTTTAAGTATTAAATAAACTATCCAATCGATTTGGTAAATGTAACAGATAACGATAGGCCACCATGACATTTCAGACGTCCTTGTGTGAAGCATTTAGTTCACCCGGCTTGTAATTTCCTCCTCCGACAAGGCAAGTGTCCGTTTTCATGACAGTCTCCGACATACATAATTATGACTTATTGTGATCAAATAAATAAATAAATCTATTTTATATAAATGATTTGTGAAATATATAATGCACGAAATAAATGAAATAAGTGTTTTTTATTATGCAATCATTTCAATTATATTTTTAAAGAAGAAAAGTTACACTTTCGCGTTTACCGTACAGTTTTATTATTTAGAGGTATACCCCGGTCCTATTCTATTACAAATTAAAAAGGATTCTTGTAAATAATCTATACTAATATTATAAAACTGAAGAGTTTGTTAGTTTAAACACATAGCTGAGGAAATACGGAATCGAATAAAAAAATATGTGTTAGATAGATTATTATTTATCTAGGAAGTCTTATAACATCATGCTGCGATTAACAGACTATGAACAGAAAAAATGATTCCTTTATCTTTTAAGATTAACTCGCAAGAACCATTTTTATGAAAATAAATTTGATCGAAATCAATGCATTACTACCAATTATTTGATAGAGTTATATCAACATAGTAATATTATTTTTGCAAACACCGCTTATCGGATAAGCTAGTCGAAATATGAGACGCATATCGAAAAATTTTAATTCCAAAGTTCACCTTAGCCAAAGCCACAGCTGGGAACGTGTCCCAGACTAAGTCAGTGTCCTCTCCACTTTGTCCTCTACGTTGACCTCTCAATATCCTTGCGGCTGTTGCTGTGGTCAAGCTCATACCGTCTCCAACCACAAGAATTACGTTCCTAAAGAGATACATATACATTATCATTGTTAGTTCATGTTAGGTATAAATTTATAAGGTTATTTTTTAGAGGATCTTTTTATTCAAAACATGTGTTTTGAAAAACATAATTTACGTATTTGTATTTACGCGAGTGGTACGCTTTTTTAACAAAATATTTTTAACGGTTTAAAACGCGAAATGTTTCAGTTTACTTGATTATCATATATTTTAAACAGCCGTGACCACGGCTGTCGCAAAACATCCGACCCGTTGAGCCGTAAAGTTATAAATAAGTTAAATGAACATTTCGCTTTTAAAACCCGTGAAAATTGTTTTATTTAAATAGTAATGTTTGAAGGCGTGCAAGGTACAGAATCATCAAGATTGAACCTTGTCTGTAAATAAAATCATATTATAAAAAAGTTGGTTGCTGAAGCTATCTGAAAATTTATGAAAGAAAATTATCGTGCCTAACCTTACAATGTAATTGGTTGCATGTGGACTCCAACAACATATAAGACGGAAATGGGTGAAGTAGTGTAAATTGGTTTGAACGTGTCGGAAAGGAGCAATTACCAAGTAGTTGGTGTTTTTCTTATCATTATTTATAATATTTTACCACGCTAAGGGCAGGCTGGCGCAATTAAATTTAACGTACTGACTGTAAGATAATTGTCATAACTACATATTTTATATCAACAAAGGTCCTAAATTTACATTGAAATAAAGGTTAAAGTAATCTAGACTAATATTAAAATAATAAGTTGAAGAGCTATTATTTTGTTAAAGTTTGTTTGTTTGAATGCGCAGATGTCATGAACTATTGGTACTTATTAAAAAAATATTATTGAGTTTACTAGACCATTTATTGAGGAAGGTTTTAGACTATATAACATAAGGATGTGACTAAAAAGAGCGCAGACACAGGGGGAAATGTGGAAAATTCTTAATTTTGACGGTTTCCGTCGCGTACGCTGCGATATGGATGAAGAAACTCAAAAATATGTATTAAATAATTATTTCTCTTTGAATCTAAAAATCGTCCTCGATATTATATATCTCTCTTTTAAGATTGACTTACAAGAACCGTTTTTATGGGAATTAAACGTCGTTGGAATAATACATATAACAAAAAAAACCGTTCGGCAGATCAGCTAGTAAAAAATATGACATAAGACATAACTAGTGAGTTATTTAAGTATTCTTATAAAAGGTATGAATAAGCTATTTATATATTTAATCCGTAATAATCGTTCGCTTATTATTAATGTCTCTAATAGGGAAACCAAAGACAACGAGCTTCATTAAAATTCCCATACCATAACAAAGCCCAAGCTCACACTTAACGATGCGAAGAAAATCCGAGTTCCATTCGCGTGGAATTATTTATAGACATTCCAAATTTGAAATCCATTAGCTCCTTTTATCGCGACACAAATAAAAGCATTTAGTCTGTACGTAATATATTAGGCAACAATTAAAAACGCATCTTAAATGAAAACTTGGGAAATTCGTTTTTTTTTTTTGTTTAATTTGTGTAGCGGATAAAATTGTAAGTTAACATTATTTATTAGAAATATGTTTTTAATTTGTTCTGACTTAGAGGCTTAAATTAGGCATTCAACATTCTCTTTAAAATTAACACATAGATTTTTTTTGAAGTAAAATTACGTTTGGCGTCGATGGAATAATATATATATGGTACTTACTTAGCTACGGGGTTCTTCCCAGTCGCATACTGAAGCCTCTTCTGTAACGTTTCCTGCGCCTGCGCATACCAGTATTGGCGATCTGTCAAAAAATACATATTTTATAGTATAACAAAGAAATTAAAATATTTTGTTACTTACTAAACAACATTATATCTGAACTTAGAAATGTAATCATGATTTTTTTTTTAATGACAGGGGCTTTAGTTAATAGAAAGTTAATAAAAGATAGTCATAAAGTAAAGAAAGAAAGCGCTAAGCATTTAACATCGTAACAAATTGCGTTTTCGACCTTTTTTGCTTTTGAAGATTCATATGCATCCAGCAAAAGGTTAATAAAACTTCTGTGCCCTGAAACTATTGCTAACGAAGAAAGACTTCTGCTTACTGCAATTCTAATAAGGCGTTAACCGTTAAATCATAGGGTGGTGTGTTTTTATTTTCAGTTTAGAGTTGGTAATCTTAAACAAAATATGTGTGTGCTGAGTTTAAAGTTGTTATTCGCAAATTAGAATATCTAACACAAGATAATATTTCATACTAAATTCATTGTGCGACAAGTAGAATTGTTACAACGGCAAGACGTTAAATATGGCGACTAACATATACTAATTATGGTTTGACAATTACATTATTTTTATTTCTTTATGTTTTAAAATACGGTTTTTTTTTAATGATGTATAAGCAGTGGCGGCTGTACCTTAAGTGCACTCGTGCGCTGAGCTATCAATTTAAAAGACTTAAAAATTACAATTTTACTTCATCCTTATTTTTCAAATTACTATTTTAATATTTATTATACAAAATATACAAATAAGTATAACATATGCTAAGAGTTTGAGCACTTTACTAAACTGCTAAGATTTATTTTTATGAGGTACGAATCAAAACGCTTGGCATGTGAAACAAAAGATAGTTAATAGAAATGTAAGAAATCAAAAGCGGACGGAAGATTACCGAGAGGACCCGATGTTTGACGAATTTCAACAAAAAAAGTTATTGCACATTTCGCTTCCGAAAAAATGTCATCGCATTGATTTATTATTGAAAAAATAAATATATTTTGTGTCAATTATTATTTTGTTGAAATTCGTAATTTTAACATTTGGCACCTAAGTAAAGTGCACCACAAATTCCATAATTCACTTGCCGCCACTGATTATAAGTAAAGATAGTATAGCAGAATGAACTTGCCGATTATTAAACCTAGATCCTAGATCTTGGTATACACCACATCGTGTAAATTAGAGTAACCTGCGCATTAATGGTTCGCAACAAAGGAACTAATTTAGTGTACAATGCGGTGTGGCGAGGTAATAGCTTACACTAAATACTAAATGCCCGCGTCCTAGAACACAAATGCCGTGTAAGTGTTTTTGCATGCAAAGGTATGATGGAGCTATTTACTCCCAAACACCCTCACCTTGTTTGATAGAAGATAATTTAAATAATTTATAATGAAGGTAGATAATCTCTACTAACATATAAAGCTGAAGCGTTTGATTTTTTTTGAACTGAAATCTTTTTGTATCGGTTAGAGCATTTATCAAGGAAGGCCTTAGGCTAAACATCAGAATGCGACTAATAGGAACGAAGAAACAGCGGGAAATATGGAAGAAACGAGGAAATTTATTCATCTTTAAGCCTTTTCAAACAATAACAAGTAGTTGTTTCGACTTAACTTTAGGCCGTTTTAAAAACGTATTAATTTCATATTCGACCAAGGAAACAATACAAAAACGTTTATACATCTTAAAAATTAGCACTCAAGCGTGTTCGAGTGATTCTTGAGCGTGGTTATCCCGCTGTAAAGGCAACTGAACATTATATTCTATAAATAGTATTCGCGCAGTCTTCCCAAATCCGCTTTGTGATTCAAGCACCTGTTCTGGCATCGTTGAAGTTACCAGCTACAAAAATGTATTGAAGAACCTCTTCTGCGCTCACCCCGCACTTGACGAGGCGTGATGAGTGCCAAACAACTTCGCAAAGTTAGTTGTTTGCTTGGGATAGTTAACAAATATATTGACCAAGATTTTAGTACAGGTCCAGATATTCCAGTATTTATACTTGCCAGACCCGTCGGTCTGGCAAGTAAATCTTAATAGATAGACATATAGTGTTCCGGACATTTTCTTTATATAATTTAAAGAGGAGTTATATTCTCCTCTACATATTTTTTGGGTGTCTTGATAAATAATTTCCCCCGTTTCTTCCACATTTCACGCTATTTCTTCGCTTATATTATTTATAGCGAAATGTTTTATAGACGTCCTCGATAAATGCTTTTACCAACACGAAAATATTTTTTCAATTCGAACCAGCAGTTTCTGAGCGTATTCAAACAAACAAACAAGCTCTTCAGCTTTATATATCAGCACAGATTTAATTTAATGCGCTGTAAAGCCCGCCTAAATTTTCGTGTTTAAAGGAAAGGTAAAATACTTAATATTGAGTTCTGAAAACATATAGCTTACTTCGATTTTAATCCATTATAAAGTTAATAAAAAATATACTTGTCCTTTATAGTTATTTGTGTAAACAATAATTGTACGATAAAAAATATAAGAATCAAAGTTAGAGAATCATCAAATTTTGACGTGATGATTTACCACTTTACGACCACTATCTTTTCTGTAAAAAATATGAAAACTTTATTAATTCAAACCAATATAACTACTAATGCACCGGTCCAATTTAGTTAATTTTTTGCCACCCTCCCAAAAATGTGCAACTATAATTAGTTCTAGGTCACTTTTAGGTTACGTTAATTCTGAGATAAATATTACATAGCGAAGTTAATACCGAAAATATTCCTTATAATTAAATTATTTTTTTTAACAGAATTTAGTAAATGCTTACCGTACGCCTCTTTGACTTCAGCATTCATCGGCGCTGGGGACAAGACGCCGGTACTAATCGTGGACACCATGATCACGACGCAGCACCAGGCACTCATGGTGGGCTTGCTTCATCTGTGCTGAACTCGTTTGGTATCATCACTCGAAAGCCCCACGTCTGAGCTTGGTAGATTCATTTGAATCGCATCTGGAAATGTTAGCATTGGTAAACAACACGGAACCGAGGGTTCATGATAGAGGAGGACAGACAAACACGGGGTTCGCTAGATGCTAGGTAACCCAGCCTATAGCATCTAAACAAGATGCACTGTCGAACTATTTTTGGCTTTGGATATTCGTACTGAAACCAAAACGTATTTAAATTTCACAGCTTTGTTGTACCAATCTTAAATAATTCTTAACACTTCAAAAAAGTATTAAAATAAAACACTTTAACGGTTTAAAACTCGAACTATATTAGCTTAATTTGTTTACAAATTATTTTAAACTACGAATCGGCGTTTCTTAATTTTATTAAATATAAAATTTAGATTCTCGTAATCTAACAATTGTCTTAACTATTAAATAAAAGTAAAAATGAAATATAATTATATCACATATATTAAGCAAATTAATTCTTTGGTTTTATTTCGTGTCTTAAAAATAGGCATAAGTAAGTCTGTTTAGATAGATAAAAAATCAATAGCCATTATTTTTTGTATAGTTCAGAATAAAATAATGTAATAATTAAATAAATAATGTAATATTTGTTACTCAGTGAACGGAAACAATTTTTAGGAATTTATTGTATGTTACCATGGCAAAATCCTGGCTTAATTTCGGTATTATAAGAGATTTACAGCGAAAATAACGAAGAAAAAGAAGTCAGAGTTGTTTTTTCCTTGAACCAGGTATATTTTACTGTTCTCGTCAGAACTGATAAAGTAAGAAATATAATTAAAATTTGAATGTCCAAAGCCAAAGTAGGTCGGTCAGCGCATCTTGTTAGATGTTATATGCCTGGGGTATATCACGTATAATCCAGTGAAGTGAGCTTGTCTTTCCTCCTATATCGAATAAAAAACACAACTCAAACATAAAAACATTATTAGTTATGTTATACTCATCGACTAGGTAAAACCAAAAAAACTGAGTCAATAACACACTTCCAGCCCCCTACATTTACTAAATTAAAATAACAATACCGTAGGAAGGCTTCCCCTTCATTCTTATTTTCATTCATCTGAGAACAATCTATTCAATAAGAAATCATTGCTCTCGAAGAATATTAAATAATAAATTGCTTATATTGTGCGAATTCGATTACAGGCGGAAGGCCAAGAGAATTAATCACGCCTCTGACGTCATCACTCATGATCCATACCTACAATTAACATAGATCATTGTAAATAATTATTGTTCGATTTCAATTAATAACTGTGATAAGTGAATTCCCGTTTTCCTCTGCATCAGACCATGAGGCACATTTCTGTAGTTGTTACGCTAATAACTGTGTTTAAACGCGAAATATATTAGTAGAAAATATGTTGCGTGACATATTTCGCGTTTTGAACTGTTTATAGTGAATTTAAATGTTATAGTTGAGTAAATTACAGATTACAAATTTTATTTTATCAAATTTTGAGAATATTGGGATATCTTAAGTGCTTAAATAATTCTCAATATAAACATTGTTTAAACTTATATAGCACAGGTTAGGAAATTCGATTTCGAAGTACGAATATACTACGGTTGTTCACTTTTTTGTATGCGGGCTTTTGGGCTTTCCACGTGTCTTTTTTCTCGACTGACGCTATTACAGTCACCGGAGGGACCGAAGTGGAACGTTCAAAAATAAAAACTTCGCCATAAAACTGATATAGTACTTACAACTTACTCGAATTATGTTGTTTCTACTGAATTGTACGTTCGTGCTCCTATCTTTACGCCATATATAAAACAACTAAACATGTTTAGCATCAAATACTGTCTATAGTTTACGCGAGTAGTACACATTTAAATAAAACACTTTGACGGTTTATAACGCGATATATTAGTTAAATGTATTTGAAAATGATTTTTAACTTCAGCCCGACGTTCGTGTTAAACGGTCGAAGTTATCGCGTTTTAAACCGTTAAAGTGTTTTATTTAAATGTTTAGCGTCGTCTAGACAACTAGATATTACATAGATGGTAGGAACATCGAAATATCGTTCAGGTTACGAACCTTCGATCACAGATTTAAAAAAAAACATCATAAAATGAATTTATTAGGTAATGATCTTCTTTTTATAGTCAATCATCGCTTGGTATACTTTAAAAGTTAAATACGTTTAAATAAACCCGACATTTCGAATGGTCCGTAGTTTAAATAATTTTTAAATAAGTTTAACTAATATGGCGTTTCAAACCGTTGAAGTGCTTTATTTAAATGTGTACTACTCGCGTAAACTACAGACAGTATTTAAGTTAAATTCATTGAAATCATTCATGACTACACTAAAAGTAAATTAAAAAGCTGAGTGTACAATTTCAGCTTTTTATTGTATGGCACATTTACTTGAATCGACTATTGTTTGCTGTTACATAAGGTTAAACATTAAGTCCGTATATGGCATATAATGTCCATATTAGTTAAAGCCTCTTTGGGATATGGCCAACTGTGCTGTCTTGATGTGATGCTTAAAATAATTTGGTCAAGACACGAAGACACTGCCAAAACATTATCCATTAAGAACATTGCTGCAGAGACCTAAAGATCCACCATGTTATACATATTTGTTTATAATATAATGCATGTATGCAGTACTATCCGTTCTCTATTAAAAGACCAACCTAACATCACAGTTATTAAAACTGAATCTACACTGTTTGGTAATTTAACAAGATAGCTTAGACGTCATAGATGCCTACAAAAGGGAAAAAATTATAACAATAAATAAAGTTAACTTAGTGTTTTATTAATATGCAAAAGGTAAACAGTTGTTGACCGTCTCATGGCTAAGGTGGTGTGAGTTTGAATCCCAGGAAAACGTTAGAACAAAATGTTTATATTATTATTTCACATAAAAGCTTATGTCGGTGTTTCGCTGATTATTTATAACAGGTAAAACAACTTCGTGTTTTCTAATTAGCGTTTACAATTAGTGCTCGTTGTAAAGGTAAACAATTTTTGACAACGAAATTTGCCTTGAAATGTTCAATTTCACTCAAAGGTAAAACACAATATACTTTCGATCGTTGTCAAATATGACATTTCAGTAATCATATCCTGTGTCTATTCTGGGAGAAACTGGATTTAACACTAGATAAACTACAGATAGCGCAACTCATTAACAATGAATATTCACGTAAATTGGCCGAATTGCGGCGTTAAAATTTAGACAGGTATTAACATAATTTTTAAGAATTCATAAACACTCGGCTACTATTTGCGATCTACGCTCCGTCGAACGGATCGAAATATCATTTTCAGTTAATTTATCGGGGGCGTGCCGCGTGATTCATTTGCCGTTAAATCATTTTAACCGCTTGTCGAGTTTTTCACGTAAACTTATCGGTTCCACAGTGCACCGTATTGATAGATGCGTTACTGTATTTATTGCGATATTTCATGAAACATTACTCCGAAAGTAATTAAAAGTACAAAGAAATTTTTAGTTATTTTATATAGTTTGGCTTTAATGCGTAAAAATTTTATTCGCGCTTTACCGTATTTTATTCAGCACGTTGGGTTTTAAGAAATAATAATTATTGCAAAATTTAATTATTCATCGTCTTTTGTTACGTTTATTTTGAAATAATTTATGTTTTATAATGTCTCCGCCAGGTTACCTTTATTGCTGTAAGCCCTAATGAATCGTCGCTAAATCTTCGTTCTCTGGTTAATTTAACCGTTTTTTAAATAATATAAAACATAGTAAAGGGTTCAAACCTGAGAAAAAAGAAAGACTTGGGGTCACAGAAGTCCTGGGGAAATATATGCTTGTACATAAAAGCTGCAGAACCAGACATGTACCTAATAAACAAAGATGAACAGGATATTAGATTGAATGTTGTAAAGTAGTTACTTACTTACAAGTATTTCTAAGAAGAAATCGCGACGCTAATAAACCTTTGCAATTAGTATCCTTAATACATTCGAATTCTTTGTCTTGTGCAACACGGTGAAGTTACTTTGTGTTTAAAACTTCGGTTAAGTTGGCACAAACTTCGAAAGCTCGGTTTCAAGAATTCGAGATGAACTTAAAACTTCACCTCGCACAAGATGTTCTCTAAGTTTCGGGGGTAAATATTATTGGCGGTAGTGATTTTTACTATATTGATATTCATCTACTTAAATCACCAGTTAATCTTGAAGCATATCCATATATTTAAAGAAACACTTTAACGGTTTAAAATGAGATATACACATATTAGTTAAACTTGTTTGAAAATTATTTTAACTATGCCGTTGTACAATAATATATAGCGCTTAAATACTGTCTATAGTTTACTCGAGTAGTACACATTTAAATAAAACACTTTAACGGTTTAAAACGCGACATATTAGTTAAATAAAACACTTTAGACTGAGTCTCCCCGTGACCACGGCTGCTGCAAAGCATCCGAAACGTCGGGCCGAAGTTAAAAATAATTTTCAAATAAGTTTAACTAATATATCGCGTTTTAAACCGTTAAAGTGTTTTATTTAAATGTGTACTACTCACGTAAACTATAGACAGTATTTAGTTAAACTTATTTCAAAATGATTTTTAACTTCGGCCCGACGTTTCGGATGCTTTGCAGCAGCCGTGGTCACGGGGAGACTCCCCGTGACCAGGGCTTTATTTAAATATATAGCGCTTTTTAAGCCGTTAAAGTGTTTTATTTTAATGTGGACCACTCGCGTAAACTACAGACAATATTTTACCTACTCTTTGACGGAGAACACAGTTACATTTTACAAAAAAAAAGCCAATGTGGATACTAAGTACTAAGTAGAACTAAATAGACATTTTTATCTGCTCCTATGTAACGTTGATTAGGAAATGTTTCATTATTATTCGCACCGCGTTCTCGAACTACCGAACTCGAACTAAACGTACTTACAAAACTGATTCGCAGCCACTCGTCTAAA